AAGAAAGAGAACCTTAGAAAGCATGCGAATGAGAGAACGTGGTGTTTTACAACTGAATGCGTGCTAACCGATGGCGTCCTCAGGTGGCAGGTCAACGGTGTCTGTGTAGAGGAACTGCAGGAAGGATCTGTAGACGGGGTAAGAGAACTGGCCGATCTCTATCACGTCCTGCTGATCCTCCGTCCACTGGGAGCGAAACATGGACCGGAAATGCTCACACCTACTCCAAACAAAAGACCATTATTCATACTGTATATAGTACAGATGTGTTAAAAAGAAGTGTCAAGTAACCAGTGACAGTGGCATCGAATGTCTGCTGATAATCTCTAATAATCCTGTATAGACAACATTTGAGAAGCTTGATTTCTTTTGTTAATTTTGAGTTCTATCTATGTCTTATGCATATTCACCTGATCTTCAGCACAGCTTTGTGAACGTGAATGCATTTGCCTTCGACGCTGAATTTTAGGTCGGCTGTTTCTGGACTGTCGAACTCTTTCCTCAGAGCCTCCGCAACCGTCAGGAAGTCGTCATGCTCTGGGGGGAAAAAAAGCACGATGCAACAATCATGCCACATTCACGTTGTGTTTTAAAAATGTATTTAAAAAACAGAAACTCTGTTAAAGACGACCACGCTGCTGAGGAGTTACACACTCTCTCTCTCTCTCTCTCACCCATAGACATGAGCCTCCACATGACGGAGGGCGTGGCGAAGCAGGCGAACACGTCGTCAGTGTTGATGAAGTGTGTGAGGTGCGGCATGACGATGGACTGACCCCGACACTGACCCCACATATACACCTGGAGGATGAACGCGGTTACTAGCATCCCAATCGCAAACATTTTATGATACAGCTCAGAGGCACGGACCGAGGACAGTAAGGATCCGGCCTTAAAATGAAATGAAAGATGGACGATTTCAGGGTGCTGGCAATGTTCATGGTCACTCATTGTTAACTGTCATGTCTGACTGGGACAGTTGAATAGAAGAGAGCCATTGTTAATGTTATTAGTAACACCTGAGCCCTTGCTACTATTACAAGTCAAAATGTCTGCAGTAAGAAAGGCCTATTTAGCACTTTTCCATGTGCAGTAATACACCAGAATATAGCCCTAGCCAAACTGGATTTTTCAGATCGATACAGATGTCTATATTTGAGAGTTATGAGTCTGATTTAAATGTTTTACATAAAAATCTTGGACAATAAATCATTACATTTTGTTATTAAGGAAATGTGACCAGGATATTTAATGAGCAGGACATTTTACAGCAGAAAAATTAACTGCTCTGTGGTGGACAAACTATGACCCGAAACTGAAATTATAGCCAAGATTAGGGACCACATAACAGATAGGCCTAGTTATAATTGGGGGGGTAAAGAGGTGACAAATTAGGAGCATGACAAAACCACATGCCACAGACTAATGCGCAAACTTACTGACTCAGTATGTGAAAAACTAAAATCTAGTATTGTGGTCTGGAAGAGCCTTCAACGCTCACTGGATGATCATCCGAGGTCAAAATCAGCAAACTGACCCTTGTACCAAATCTGAAGGTGGGAAATGCATAAATCTAAACATTGTAGGACAAGGTTCACTTGCATACATACCTGCCCGCTTTGGGTCTTGGCTGCTGAAGTATGTGTTGAATGGCATGCTGCGACCTCTACAACCCTGTTAAATAAGAGATGCGTTAACATAAGGGCATGCTATGCTAATTATGTAAAGAATCACACGGAGAGCGTAAATATTGTGTTATGTATGGAAAAAAAAAACTGACAGTGATGGACAGTGTTTTTGCTGTGGCAGGATTTGGTCATTGTTTTACGACGGCTTCCTTTTGCCCACTGACAACTACTTAAGACCAGGGGCGGAAATTGAGGCACAGAGCGAGGAAATTAGGACAGGAAACGGGAAGTTGAAGTCTTAACAGGATGGGAAGAAGCCTGCCTTTCTCCAAATACAAAGAAATACTGCAATGAAAATAAGCTTTGCACACACACCCCTGCTTCTCCACATACCTCTCTTTGTCAGCCATGATTTGTACGGGGCTGAGGTGGTTGCTTTTGTTGCCAGTTCCCAGTTGACCGTAGGTGTTAGCTCCCCAGGCGTAGAGCAGCCCTTCGTCTGTTAACGCCAGGCAGTGGCCGTAGCCTGATACAATCTGGAAAACAGGGAACACTTGAGTCATGGCTGAGTCACGCCCATAGGCAATTATGTGATGGCCATTACTGAGTTGCTGTCTCACCTGTTGAATACACAGCCCTTGGAGTGCAGTGAGGCGGCAAGGCGTCAGCTGGTTTCCGTTGTTACCAATACCCAGCTGTCCGTTACCGTTGTAGCCCCAGCCATAAACCTAGATAAACATAAGACAATCCTCTTTACTGCGTGAAGTTCGGATTTCTCACTGGGATCGTTAAGATGTCACGCAGTGGCATCCTCACCTCTCCGTTGTCGATGACAGCCATGGAGGAGGTCTGCCCACACGTGATGGCAACCGCAGTCTTGCCCTGCAGGTAGCCGGTGACTTTCCTGGGGTAGGGCTGGTTGGCTGTGGAGCCTGAGCCAATCTGGCCGCAGTTATTGTAACCCCACGCAAAGACCTGGAGGGGCAGGGGGAGGCAGATCAGGACCAGGGAGGCAACACCGTCAGATTTTGATGGCGCGAGGAAAGTCAAATCTCTCAGTTTTATAGGAAAGAAAGCAAGAAAGAGCTCCATTTGAGTTATCTGGAGACAATTTTCTCATTCAGGAGACAATGAGGGCAACCTTGAATCTTAAAATCATTTTCTCATTTCTATTCACAGTTGAGGGATGCGAAATTGCCAGATTACCCCTCAAACGACCAGTGTTTGGTTTGTCCGTTCTGGGCTACTGTAGAATCACCGTTCACAGGCACCAAATCCACCTCCAAGCTCCTCCAAAGCTCACTAATTAACGCATTATATCTGGTTTGTTTAATCTGTACACAAAACTGCGTAAAAGCGACAACTTGAGGTTTTTACGAGGGGTTACGTGTCGGGCTATTTCTTGGTCGGACAAGTGCCAAGAGTGTGAATTAGTGAGCTTTAGAGGTGCTAATCTGCGGCGTGGATTTTGTTACCTTTGGGCAGAGCCAGGCTAGCTGTTTCCCCCACCTGTCTCCAGTGTTTGTGCTAAGCCAAGCGAACCAGCTGCTGGCTCCAGCTTTAGATATAGGAAGGCTGTCGATCTTCTCATCTCACGCTCAGCAAGTAAGCAAAAAAAGTATTTCCCGAAATATCAAACTATTCCTTAAAAAGGCAAAACTACGTTTAACCTCCCAACAAGCATCAAATGAAAATACAAATATACACACACTCAAATCACCAGATTGGTGTTTTAACTGAAAGGGTTTGTCAGTTCTGTTAAATCATCCCCGAAAAACCCAACAGGAAGCATCAATAAAGACCTGTTCCTTTACGTACTACTCCACAAACTGAGGGGAGACGATGCTCAAATACACAAAGTAGACAAAGAGCAATCTTTACACAACACTGTGAAAAACTGTGCAGTTAGTAACATTTAACATGGCAACAGGCTTCCCTGCTTTCCACAAGCACAGCCTGATTAGCTTTAACTCCTCTGGGTTACAAATAAGCTGCTTAGTGTGACGCTGGCAGAGCAGGAGGTGGCCACGTCAGGGTGACCCATCTAAAACTAAACATAAACACAAACGGGGTCGTATATGTAAATATGCTGCTCCCATTCATCGTAAACATAATGTCAAATCCTTTTTCTCTATTAAAAATATATTATATAATTGACCCATCCTAAGTCCCGCCCCTTTTTGCTCTGTGCTCCAATAAGAGTTGAGCAAGCCATCGGTCAGAACCCCGGTGAACGTTGCTATGTGCTGGGCTCGTCTATGTTAAAAAAAAAACAAAAACACACAAACAAACGAATCTACATCAACTGTTAGTAATAATAATCTGTTAGTAAAGGCTTAATCAATTGTTATGGAGAAAATAACAAAAAGGGGCAGGGCCATTATTCATTATGTATATTTAGAGATGAGAGAGAGAGAGAGAGAGAGAGAGATCAGCAAATCATGATGAAACTGTCGAGTTAACTTAAAAGAACAGCTACCTCTCCATCGTGAGTGAGGGCCATGGAGTGATGTGAGCCACACGCCACTTCTCTCACTTTCTTGTTCTGTAGGTTGGCGGTGACCAGCACCGGGGACAGTCCCTGGTTGGTCGTCCCGTTCCCCATCTGACTGTAGCCATTGTGGCCCCAAGCAAACAGCTGTCCATCTGCAATAAATCCACACAAACATTACACAGTGGGTCGAGATCAGAAGAGAATCTGCACTTATAAGGACATTTTGAAACATTTTTTATAACAGGTAATTACTTAATACTTTTGGGTGACATATCACTTTAATCAAGCTGATGCAAACACAAAAAGTGTTGAACTATTTCCATTAAATTATTATATAACAGTTATAACAGAAGTTCTTACTCAAGAAACGTAAAACTATAAGTTGACAGGGTTAAAGGTGAGGGGAGCAGATACACATGGTACGATTCAATGATTTCCAGACTAAATGATTTTCCAAAGCTAGCATAAGCAATCACATACCATCAGTAGCCAATAGGACGTGGGGCCCACTTCCATAGCTCAGGCTGACTACCTTTTTCCCCCGCAGGAAGTCCAGTTTCTTTGGCACAATGGTGCTCAGACTGTCTCCTGTGCCAAGGCAGCTACTGCTGTTCAACCCAAACACAAATACCTGGGAAACAATAACACACACACACACACACACACAACTTAACATAAAATAAAAAGTCTGCTTAAAAACATTGTTTGCTACCAGTAACTGTACAACAAATAAAACGTTCAAAAGCTGTCGTGAAAAGAGGTACAATAAAGGTACGGAGAACTCTGAGGATGTAATGTGATGCACACTAAACACAATGGAGGATAACAGACTTGTGTAAGGTTAGTGGTATGCTGACAATCCAGTTGTAAGGAGAATGAAAGCAATTTTCCCTGCAGTGTTTTATCACAGAGGCGGACTACCTCACCTCTGCTCT